AACAGAATTAAAAAAAATTTTAAAACTCAGTTAACTTGTCCTATGATATTTTCAAAGCTCTTTATCCTGTATCTGAACATAAATATCCCTATATTAACATTTGTGCTACCGATTGAACTCAACTCACCTTTTATTCCTCCATTCAGAAAATATGCTGATCATCTATAAGATGCCAAAATAACCAATGAATAAATTTAGCCATAAATGTTATGATTTCATCTTAGAGAGATATGAAATTTTGGTTTAAATCCAAATAATAGAGAGTCACACACTGTGTAACAATGCTTTGTGGGACAACAGACTACATATTTTAATAGTGGTCCCAGAAGTTTGTGGAAGATATAGGCATTTTGTATAAGCACATACCTACAATGATTGCATAGTGAATGCCAACAACACATTTCTCACATCATGTCCCCATCATTATGTGAAACATGACCACACATATTATGTTAAAGGGGTATTATAAATAATGTAAGAGATATGAAGCTATACTGAAGTCTAATTTACCAGATTTGAGTTACAGCAAAAGGCAAAATTTAATGTAAAGTTTTTCTTGTTTTCTTTTTCAAGAATCGTACAGCCAAAGGAAATGTATGATTTCAAATTAATTAGTATGTTTCACTTTGTTCAGGATTTAGATTTGTAGCATGTAAGTAAATTGGATATACCCAATACTTTATATCAGGTATTAATGTGATCTTAACTTTTCAAATGGGCAGTTTACAAATTCTTATCTCCAGAAGTGCTTTTGTTTGAAAAGCAGGAGGAAATGCTTCACTTCATTGAGTTCTATTCCTTCAGTTTTAAATCTCCAGTCAGGGAAACAAGAAGGAGGACCTGAGAAATAATAAAATATGTTGACTATATAATAGGTATTCAGGATATGAATGGTGAGTTAATAAAATGAAAGAACAGATAAAGTATACTTGAGGAGTTCAGTGCGTGGTGTTTCTTATCTTTATTTGTCTGTTCGTTCTCTACTGGGAATTGAATCCAGGGGCACTTAAACACTGATCCACAGCCACAGCGATTTTTATTCTTTATTTTGAGCTAGTTTATTTTGAGACATCTCCCTTAGTTGCTAAGGGCCTCTCTAAACTTGTGATCCTTCTG